TTCTTTTCTTTTTTTTTCATTTTTTTGGTGGTTTGTTTTGTGGTTTATTTCCCCTAAAAAGGCAGCACCATCACTTTATTACAAGTCCTTCTTTATGCTGTATTACTTAATTCTGATTTGCCTGATAAGATACATGCTATTGTTTAGACATCCACCCAGTAAGATGATGGGAACACTTCAGACAGCAAAGCTTGAACAAAGAATTAACCAAGTGATTTTCTACAACTTATCTCACAGATAAGTTTATTGTTCTCTTTCTGTAGTACTGGCTCTTGGAAATTTACTTGGAATGCAAATAAATAGTATTTTTAGAGCCAAAAGGATTTTCTTTCCTTAAAATGAAATTAGTAGCAATGGTCACATTACCAAAATATACAGTTAAAGTTATAATTTCTAAATTTTAAAAATATATTTGTAATTCAGTATTTCATGCATTGTTTTAATGCTTTTACAACTTTAAATAGTTCTGAAAAAGCATCACAATATACTATCTGAAAAAAGTAAACATTTTATTCTTTAGGGACAAAACATGCATTGAAGATAAACAGTCTCCAACAACATTGAAGAAAAACACAGGGTACTACATTACAGATCTAACACAAAAATGTTAAACTGTAACACAAAAACATTTTTGCTTTTGTTGTGTACTTTGTTCTTTGAGTTCATAATTCATTACACATAATTTACTGTATTCTAACAATAACACTTTTCTTCAAAAAAATCAAAGCAGCATCCTTTTTATATTTGAAAGGTTTCCATGTTGTTACAGTTTTCCAGAAGATGAGCAATGGAATCATTGTATAAAAGGATTTAAAAGTATTATAATGTGATATCTGTTAGCCATAAATTTTGGACCCAGCAATGCTGACAAATTTCCTGAGGATAAGTGTTCACAGCTAAAAGCATTATTTCAATCTTTGGGTTCAAGCTTGCTGCTCTCTCTTTGTATGCGTATAAAAAAATGGGGGAAAAATTTCAAAACTGCTCATGAATACCACCTTGGTTTTTGCAGCCAGCACTTGAAAAAAAAGAAAAAAAAAAAAAAAGAAAAAAAAAGAAAAAAGAAACACAAGGAAAAAAAAACCCAAAAAAATATCTACAAACCAAGAATAACCCTTCCCTCCCTGCCCTAAAGAAAAATTTTCTTCCTGGTATTTATTACTAGGTATTTGTATCATGTGGTTCCCTAACAAAAACTAAAAGACATATCAAACATCCTTCTTTTGAGATCCAGCTGACATAAACAAGTGAGATTATATGGGAATATTGGTTTGGAAGACCAAACATATTTGCTGGAAGAGTAGGAGGACTTAATAAAGATTGCTTACCCAATTAGTGGTATGCCACAGCATAGAAAATTCCACGGTGGGGGGAAAGAAATTGTTTTATCTTCCCTCCATACATACTTAGTAGGGAAACTTAATCTCTGGCCAATGGGAAGGTCAAGTGCAGGCAGCATTAATCTCTTTTTAATTTATGTAAGGGAAAAGCTTCTGTTTGTTTCAGGGTAGGATGCTCTTAAACTGTTTCTATAGTAAATTCATAGGTATTCTGAGAAAGACAAACTTGCTGTAAGTGCATTTAAAGCAAAACAAAGCCTCCTTTGCTGTAAGGTGATTGATGCTTTCTACTGATCTCATGTTTGTTCGGTATATGCTAATTCCTTATATCAAAGACACATCTTTTAGACTTGGTTCAGAAATGTTGGCAAGATGAAAAATACTAGCACCAGCTTTTTCTACAGCTTAGTAACTGCTTAAGATTATTAAACAAAACCTCCACAGTTTCTCAGTTGATTACATAGGATTATATAAGATGCAGCTACCAGACTATTTCAGACTCCATTTCACCCATCTTGACTAACCAGTTCTCTTTTTCAAAGAGAAATTCAGAGAAAGATTTTTTTAGACTTCAAATTATTCAACAGCACTTCCAGCATTTTACCACTCCAGGGTTTGCTTTAAGAAGATACACCAGATTTCTGTATTTTCTAAGAATCTTGTTTCTATTATAGGACAATGGTAGTTCACCTTCTTGAGGCAGAAATGCTTTATTTTCTTTGGTCTCCTAGTGCAATGTCTCTGGCTTCCTGACGGACGATTCAAGAGCTCCTGCTTGGTTCTTCATGAGCCAGTGCAACCTTGAGATCAATATTAGACTTGGCAGCTGGCAGGAAGATTTCAAAGAATTTTAATTGTTCTTTAATTAGAAAAAGATCTTTAATTGTTCTGAAAGTGCCTCAAAATGTCATAACAAGACTGGCTTGGCAGAACCTTCGAAGTCCCAGTTTTCAGATGTGAAAATGCTAGGTTTCCCCCCCTCTCCCCCTCCTTCAATAGTTTTTTGTGGACCACAGCACACCCATTTACTTGCTGGTTCCTATTAGTAGGAAACAATCATCCTAAAACAGAAAGTGGAATAAATTTACCTTGTTTTTGAGTGTCTCCCTTATTGTCTCTGAATTACACTTACAGCTTACACAGCAGAATGTCTTTCAAAGACAAAACTTCAGTCAGAGGTATAGAAACAGAAATGGACTGGGTGTTGCTTGTCACCTGTGATTTTACAAAGTGTCTTGAAACTGTCATTCCTGAAAGCAAGCTAAGTCTCAAAAGAGCTAAGGTGATAAAAAATGACACAGAATAAATGAATAATATTTACTATTTATCCATGCCTTTTTTTTTTTTTTTAATTCTGTTGCTTTTATCCATTTGAAATAGACACAGCTTTCAGATACTTTCCCCCATTCTACTCAGTAATTTTATTTTTTTAGTTCTGTAAATAGATCAAAAGTTAAAAGGAAGTCCATTCTGGAAGAGGGCACCCAGATTCCTTTATGTCACACAAGGATTTTGCAAGACCAAGGTCAGTCAGGTATAGAGGAAGGTGGAAAAAAAAATGTAAACTGTTGAAAAACAAAGTTAACAAGCCAGTAGGAATAGTTGTTTAATGAGCATTGGATTTTCCATAGTCTAAACAGTCAAGTTGTAGTTCACTTCAAAGTTACTTGATTAATTTTAGATGTTCAAATTTCATGGTCTGTCTTTATGTGGCAAGCCAAGAGTGTATCATTATCTTTTGACTATGAAACCCTGTTAATTCCATTTAAAAAATACAAGTCACTCTAAATATTTGAAGCTTTTATGTTTCTGAAATCAAAACCAAGGTGTTCATGTTCTTGGATATCAGAAACACAATACCTGGAAACACTTGTTTCCTTCTAGCAGTCTTCTGACATCTTTGTTTTGCCACTTGTACTCTTTCTCTACTTCCAGTCAAGAGATATAGAGGAATAAAAGCTTCTAATCACATGCAGCTCTCGCTTTGCTGCTTCTGCTAGTAGGGATTTTTGTTTCCCTATCTTGGATTCCCATTTAAATGGACTTTTAAATCATAATGTGATAAATCTATCACTGATTAAGTTACTCTTTATCCAGTGTTACAGTTGGGAGTGAGTAGATGACAGATACAACCTGTATTTTCCTTCAAGCAATTTCAGCACAGTTTGATATTTGAGAAGCTATGTTAAGAATATTCTTTGATTTTCTTCATAGTGAAAAAATTTTATGTACTTGTTGGCCTACTGCCCAAAATCTCAGTTGGAGAAGGAAAGACTATATTGCACATTCACATTTCATTTAGAGAGTATATACTTCCTGATGTTCAACTTCCATGCCAAGCAATAAAGGTAGAAAAACTTTCAAGAGAGTCACAGTTTTATATCAGGGAGTTCTGTTTACTTCTATACCCTAGATTAAAATAACTGAAAACAATACAATCTATTTTGAATTTCCAATAAATATTCCACTTAAATTCATCCTGGGAAGAAATTTTTGCCAAGTTCTTTATCATAATGACCAAAGCAAAGTATACATCTTGGTTTTTAATTCTGAGAGACACAGAGAAGTGTCTGTACTGTACTGAGAAGTGATGGAATTGGTCACAAAGCACAAATTACCACTTTTAATTTCTTGATTTTTTTACCTTTTCTTTACACTTGATGTTACTCAAGACTGGATAAGATGGATCCCTGGAAATGTGGCTTGGATGAACAGAACCTTATTGGACTACCACAGAATGAACCCAATCCACATACATCAACTGCTGCATGTACTTGTATTCCTTCAGAATGTGTACAATAGTTTTTAAATGCAAGCCTGCCTTTACACTTAGTAAACGTTACTTTAGTGAGGGAATTTCATGCCTTCACTGGCAACAGGAACACTATCAAACTTGGTGAAACAAAACCCTTTAAAATGATGTATAAGTATCAATACCTCTTTCATTGTTTGTTTGCTGGAAATATAGATTCATCACCTGTTAGATTGCCTAGTTAAATTTTAGTCCGTTTTACTCTGATTTTCTTCTTACTGTAGAAGGATAAAATCTTGGGGGATTTCTTATGATTCTGAAGAACTTAAAAGAAAAATCTACCTCCTAATCTTTTCAAAAGCAGGAACCAGGGCAGCCTCAGAAACAGAGGCTCTACATGCAACAGTTACTGTTTTACTTCTCAGCTACTTCCAATATAACTGATTAGCTGCAACTCTCAATTGCACTAGTAGGCACAAAAAAGTTAAGGCAAACTCTTACTTGTAAAACAGGAAAGGAAAAGACAGCAGGGTAACACTGCTAAATTAAAAAAAAAAAAAAAAAAAAAAAAACCAGAATCAGAATTTAATATTAAAATTAGGCAAGAGACATGAGAACATTGCCATGAGAACATTGCAAAATGAAAGAAACCCTACCCAGAAAAGTTCAGAATACTTTATGTTTCAAATGAAGACAGATTAACAGAATCAAATTTCACAGCTTAGAAAATGAAAATTATTTTGTAGAGGTATTTTCAAGATTCAGATTTAAGGCTTAATAAAAACAGTGTCTTTGGAAAGGCCAGACATGGTAGTCAAGAAAATGTATGACAACATATATTTATCAGAAGATGTTTTATTAACAACAAATACAAAACTGTTACTCATTCTCTGATGCTTCATTTTAAAGATAAAGCTTTTCCTTGATCACTTCTATAGACTTGTAAATACAGCATTGTAAAAAAACAAAAAAAATTTGTGACAATAAATTAAGAAAATGTGAGGAGGAGGAGGAGGAGGAGAAGGAGGAGACAAGCCCAAACCATCAAGGAGGAAATGCATTAGAAGCAATAGAAAAGTTATGCAATAGAATTGAAGTATCATATTATATTCTCCTTCCAGGAGGACTTTGGGGGTTTTGCACATGAAATAAAATAGCAGCAAAGAAAAAGGATAAGTACAACTGCATTTGTGTCCCACTGGAACTTGTTCTTATTAACCAAAACAGTAGTACTCATCAGAATCAATTTTGGGATGCTTATGCAGAGACTGTGAGTCCTCCGTGACAGAAGAATCACTGAATTTGTCCATATCTGAAGGGGTTTGGTGACCAGGGACATCATCTACTAAGGTGTCCAAATAACTCCCCACTGATATTCCATCCAGTCCATCACTACAGTCTTGTAAACTGTTACAGCTGCCATGGAGGGATGTCTCCTGACTTTCTAGCAAGCTGCACAGGCTCCCACTCAAACTGCTGCCTCTGCTGGCAATGGCTTTCTCTTCAATCATCCACTTGATTGATTCAATACTTTCATTGATGAGTAGGAGCTGGCGCATAAGCTTCACATCAGTGGCTCGGAGATTAACCTACAAGGCAAAAGTGATTTTACAAATTACTGTTTTCATAATCAAGCCAAAGAGCTTGAATGGGCTAAAATGAAACACACACACACACACACACACACACACAAAAGATATCCAACTTTCCTATCTAGGACAAATCTATTTCAGTAACTAGTAAAAAACCCCACAAGCAAACAAACAAAAAGCCCCAAAAGTACACCTATACTAATACTTTCAATTAAGGTTAAGTGGGAACCTAGTCAGCCCCCCGAAGCACTCCATTAACAGGACTGATAGTCAATGGCAAAACTTGTATGCGCACTGTTGCAACGCCGTTTAGATGAGAAACACAGCTGCTATGACAACTCCTGGCGACAGCCTTTCACTAATCAGAGAAGCAAGACACAATGCCATTCCTATTTACCATTACTCTACATTACCTACAGCTACAGATATCTAGGCACTCACCCCAAGTTATCCTTACTATGGCTACTTGGGCAATGTAAAATTTTCAGATGTGCATAATTTGGAAAAAAGCTTGTGGATATTTAACTTTTACTCACTACTCTTGAGTGGACAATAAAATCTGCTATATAAACGTCTGAGAGTTGAAATATTTAGTTTATTGAAAGTGTAACTTTCAATTATTTAAACCTATATCAGAAGAAGGTGATGAAGTTCAGAGTCAACCACATATTATAGGCATGGAGCAAGCATTTGCCACAGGTAACTAAATAAAAAGTGGACATTAAGAACAAACTCCTACTTTCTCACTTAGTTGTGGTGGTTGATGTAAACACACAGAAGTGTTAATAGGAATGCATAGTGGAATATTAAAGTGTTGCATTTCACAGACATATTTGAGTTAGCCATCCTAATGGATGGCTTAATGCCCTAAGAGGCAAACTATATAAACCATTTTTAAGTCACTTCAGCTGACAAATAAAGGTGAGACCTAAGGCTTATATTCATTGCTTTCTTCTCTTAATCTAAAACATCATAGATACTGGAAAAAATAATCTGTGACCCTGTTTTATGTGCCATATATTTGAAAGTCTTTGAAAATTTGAAAGTCTTCACTCAACAGAAAAATAAAGAAAAAAACAAGTAAGATCTATCACATCAGACAATAGATATTTTATACAATTCTCCAAGTCCACAATTGTACAGAAAAAGAGCACCTGTATGGTTCATACACAATGGACTGGAACAGAATGACCAATCTCAGGAAGCAAAGACTGTATCTTGTTTTGCCGAGAGTATAATCTGAACATGATCCTTTCCATACTCAAATGCCATCTTCTCAGTATCTTAAATTTCCCTGACCTGGTACAGTTGTTCAAAAATTATTTTAATGTATTTTTATTCTCTTAGATACTGAAGAAGATTGTAGTGGATCCAGCTAGGACTCTCCTAGCAGCTGCTATGGTTTTGTTCTCTGTATCTGTGACTAAATATGTCAGTAGCATTCCAGTGTTTCAGCTCTTGCTGAGCAGGGAGTGCAATCAAGGCCTTTTCTGTTTTTTCACTCTGCACTCTCAGCAGGTAGACTAGGACTGAGAGAGATGCGTGGGTGGACAGAGACAGGACAGTTGACCAGAACTCATCAAACAGTTATTTCTTGCCATACAGTGTTGTGCCCAGCAATAAAACCTGTGCATTTAATCTTTCCTATACAGCTGTTGCTTAGGGGTTGGCTTGGTCTACTGGTGGAAGATGTGTCACTGACTTTTCATCACTTGTTAATTTAATTTATTTCCTTAATTTTTAAACTATCTTTATTACAATCTAAGTTTTTCTCACTTTTGTTCTTCCAATTCTCTCCCCTGATCCCACTCAAAGAGGAGAGAGGAGCAGCTGGTGCGTGCTTATTTACTGGTCAGGGACAACCCAATGCAAAGACATTTCAAGCTTTGCTAATAACAGACTGCCTGTGTAACCGTCACATGTATTTCCAGCTTCCTTTCCCAGTCCCCAGAATGATTTCTGAATTATTCCCAATACAGTATCACAAGATTTAACACAGCTAACCTGGTACTGTGCAAAACAGCTCTACCTACCATTCATAGTTTTAACAATATTGCCCATCTATCATTATTTGAGAAGTGAGGTTATGAAAACAGATTGACCGTTTTGTAGTTCTCCTGCCCAAGCCAATTCCTCCACTCTAACCAATAAATCACTATAAACCATTTGCTCGGCAACAAGGCTGTCATGAAAGCAGTAAATTACCCAACTACTCAAATGCAAGACTTCAGCAACTTGCTGAATATAAACATGCTCAGAGACAAGTTTCCCAAAAGGCTGATTAAGGAAATGTTTAACAGAACCAGCACCAACATGACTCAAATAAACAAAATGAAACAGTCCCTTTTAGACATCTCATATATTTCAGATTCAGTTCAAAGGAAATAATTTTTTTCTCTAAATACAGCAACAGCTTCAGCACTTTTATGGAATACCCTTACTGGAAGCAATTCTTTGCATTCCTGAGTACTAGAATCGTCCTCCTCCTAGCTACCACATCATTCCAAATCTCCCATACCAAGAGTGTGCTTTTCCTAAAACAAATATTAAAAAGTAGTTTAACAAGTGTCATCTTTTTTTCATATGGTTACCTCATCATCTGTTCAATTACACAAAAATGTCAAAATGACATTTTTTGCCCCTTATGTGCTTTAGCACAGACAAAATCATACGAGTTTTACTCACATACGTAGCTGCAACCCATTTATCTTGGAAGTTGTTGGCATATACAAGTTGGAGTGTTTTTGGAGTAAACAAGTCAGTCCAAGATGGTTCAGCTAACAGGACTAAACACAATAAAATCTCACCATACTTGACAGCTGCATTTGTTATGCACAGTAACAGGTGCATTTCAGGTACAATCTAAACAGCACATCATAGCTAATACAAGCTTTTCACAACAGTTTTTATAGCTGTCCCTTAAGTCAAAGCTAGAGCATAAGACCACCATAGAGAAGGTTTGTGTTATTATGGATCAGTTCTCAGCAAAAACTTATGGTGTATAAAAAAAACTACAAGAGAGTAAAAACTAATTTTCTGTTACAGGTTAACTTTTATACATTTTTGCTTAGTCTTGCTCTGTATATTTGCAATAGTGCTGATAAAGGAACGTTACTAAATGTTTAAGATTAAGAGCTAGTCACAGCAAAAGAAAATAATGAAATTAAAGTGACAGCATCTTTCAAGTAACACATTCTGGTAGCGTAAGTGCACAGAATAGCATTCAGAAAGAACCAGAACGTTAATCTGGAAGGAAGAGCTAGACTAAACACCTGCCTGTGCCTCCCTCTCATACTTGTTGTTCTAACAAAATATTTCTTCCCTTCTTTTGGTCTTCTGTAATAACAACACTCTCATAATTTGTTCAAAGAATTGATACACATACAAACATAAGGGCTTTTGTGTATGTATATATGCAGAGAGACAAACAAATATTCATGCTATTTTTTAATATAAATCAGCATTTTTGAGAAAGATTGACTAGAATCGCTTTTAGAATAAAACTCTTAGTGACCAGGAATGCTAACAAAGACAATTATCGCTTCCTGGCAGTCACCCAAAGTAGCGCATTGATCACTTGGCTTTTGGATCAGTCATGTAGTCATGATTTCGGCAAAACAGCCTTGTGTTTTGCTGCTGCATGTTCTGCAGACATAGCTTCCAGTCAGTTCCAAACACAGGGGATCACCTTCCCCTCCAGAAATGGCAAATCTAAAATGACTGTTAAATATACACTTCCAAGCTGTGAAAGCTGTTTGAAACTCCAGATTCTTTCTGCAGATTACTTTCTTTTAAATTCCTGGATTCACATGCTGCTCCTTCTAATTATGAGAACTCTGCAGGGATATTAATGGCAACCACAAAGCATGGTTTGAAGAAAATAGATCCCTAAGTTCATTTAAATTATTTTAGTTTAATTTCTTCTCAACACTTTTATGTTCTGTGCTGTAAAGAGTCTGCTAGTAAAAGGAAAAGAAGTGAGGGAACCTAAATAATAAAGTGTTTTTTTCAGGATAAATCTTTTAGCCAGAGTACAGTGAAGTAAGTCCTCACAACAGACAAAATCTTGTATTTACAACTTAATGGATTCAGGGAGCTATTTAAGTCAGTCAGATCAGAAGCTCTGCTCTGCACAGAATTTCAAAATTAATCTAGAGTTAGCTGCTCTGGAATCTGTGTTCTAAAACATCTTGAGTTTGGACACAAATTCCATGATACGTGGAAGTGGATGGAAACAGTAGCAGAGTACAGTACTCCTGGGAAAGCCCCTCAGAGGTTCAGGCCTGGGAAGTCTTGCAAAAGGTAACAAACTTGGGGAGAGGTTAGATGAAATTAACTGCAGCCAATTCCATCTGCTGGACTCTGATCTGGTGCTAAGCACTACCACACCCATTGCCATCACACTTTTTACAAACAGAATTTCATACCTGTAGAACTTTTCCACACTAAACAGGTGTGCATAACCACTATGGTTCAGGAGTATTAATGCTACTATTGCTTCCATTTCCTAGGATGTATCAGAGATAGGTTTCTGCTTTCCTGTTCAATTTCTTCTATTTCCCTTACCATTCAGGATGAAGAGCTTGCCAGCTATGTCTACCTCCCCTTTAAGTTTTGAAAGGGGGATTACCTCAGCTTTTCATAAAATAGTAAATTCCATCAATTAATTCCAGATGCAATTTTAAAAAAATCTAACAATCAATGTCCAAATAATAATTTGTTTTGCATTCTGAGATGTCTCTTCTGAAAAAAGCTAACCTTATTCTATTTTCTCCTGGTGTTACTTTTACTATTACAATCACTGAATAACAAGTTTTAAAGTAACCAAGGAAATTAATTTAAGAGGCAAAAGGTGAGAGTGAGGAAAATAAAACAGTGGTTGGCAATTACTCAAGTCTTATCAAGATACAAATGTAGTAAGAAGATATATAAGGATAAAAAACTGGTTAATAAAACCTCACTGACTAATTCTGTGAGACCATAACAAGCTAAAATAC